AAGTAACACTGCAGCATCTCAGATTAATGACTGGTACACATTAAAGGGGCTCTTTCCTCAAATGATTGCAAATTGTTAATTGCAATAAATAACAAGTCGCTTTCCACTCCAGGAACCTTATGTTCTAAAACAGAATTGTCCAAACTCTGTCCCTCCAGATGTTGCCGAACTATACCTCCCATGATGCTCTGGCTACCTGTTTCATTCAAAGAATCATGGGAGTGGTAGTGCAGAAACATCTGGCGAGACAGAGTTTGGAGTACCCTAATCTAAACAACAACATTTTCTGTGACATCACAACTTCACTCAGTGAACAAGGTGGAGGACTCCCCTTAAAATGTCGAATTAAACATTTTGAGCATCATATTAGCGAAACTGTAATGGTGAAAAATTCACAAGAGTTATATGACATCCTAATGCCACTCCCATCACTCCAAGCCCCACTCACACTAGCTGAAAACAATATGAATTACAGTCCATATCCTCTTGAGTAGAGACATTCCTCAAACTATCATGAATAGTGTTTTAGGTTCTAATTGGCCAAAGCAAATACATCACTGTTTAGTAGATATACCCTCAATGAAAACATGAATGCATTTTATTATACATTATATCTAAAAAAAACAGCTTGCATATACTACTGATCTCATCTGCAGCCTTCTAGCCCCGCCCAGTCTTTATGTGGCTGTCCAATCACAGACTTCCCAATGTTGCTCAATGACAAGTCTTTGCAAGGCAAGTGCTCAGAGCAATTGCTCGACTAAGCTGAACAAACCAGGAAGTAACAGGAACAGTTGTCTGGTTGACAGTCTGGGGGTGTTACATGGTTAATTTATAAAATTGATAATTTCTATTAAACCTGCACTTTTTGGTGAAATGGAAAAAAAAGGACACAATCTTCACACATAAACCACTACAAAATGCTGAAGTGCTTTAAGGGTCTGGAGTGTCCCTATAATCATAACAATAGGCCAACAGGCACACAGTGTAACCTTAAAGGACCACTCTAGGCACCCAGACCACTTCAGCTTAATGAAGTGGTCTGGGTGCCTGGTCCAGCTAGGGTTAACCCATTCTTTTATAAACATAGCAGTTTCAGAGAAACTGCTATGTTTATGAATGGGTTAAGCCTTCCCCCAATCCTCTAGTGGCTGTCTCATTGACAGCCGCTAGAGGCGCTTGCATGATTCTCACTGTGAAAATCACAGTGAGAGCACGCAAGCGTCCATAGGAAAGCATTGATAATGCTTTCCTATGCGACCGGCTGAATGCGCGCGCAGCTCTTGCCGCACGTGCGCATTCAGCCCAGGAGGAGGAACGGAGGAGGAGAGCTCCCCGCCCAGCGCTGGAAAAAGGTAAGTTTTTACCCCTTTCCCTCTTCCAGAGCCGGGCGGGAGGGGGACCCTGAGGGTGGGGGCACCCTCAGGGCACTATAGTGCCAGGAAAACGAGTATGTTTTCCTGGCACTATAGTGGTCCTTTAAATTAGATTGTCTTTGTGTGTAAGGGTTGCATTGTGTGTGTGTGTGTGTGTAATGGATGCAATGTGTGTTTCTCTATTTGTAAGGGAAGCATGATGTGTTTCTGTGTGTGTGTAGGGATGCATTGTGTGTTTCTGTGTATGTATAGGGAAGCATTGTGTGTGTGTGTGTGTATGTAGTGTGAAAGAGAGAGCTTATGGGGTAGGATAAGGGCTGAGTCTTACCAGTCCCTTTGTGATTCTCTTCCCCCCTTCCTCAGCCTCTCTCCCCTCTTGTCCCTTACTGCTCTCCCCTCCTGTCCCTTAGTGATCTCCCCTCCTGCCCCTCAGTGCTCTCCCCTCCCCCACTGTCCCTTAGTGAGCTCCCCTGTCCCTTAGTGATCTCCCTGCCCCCTTTCCTGTAGCGCTCTCCCCTCCTATCCCTTAGAACTCTCCCCTCCTGTTTCCTACTGCTCTCTCCTACCCCTGTCTCTTGGTGCTCTCCCCATCCCTTAGTGCTCTCTCCTACCCCCTCCCCCTTAGAGCTCTCCCCTGCCCCTTGTCTTTTAGAGCTCTCCCCTGCCCCTTAGTAGTCTCTTCTCTCCTCCTCTGTCCTTGTCTCTCTCTCACCTCATTAGTGTGGCCCTACTTCCCCCACCCGCCTTAGTGGCTCTCCTCTTTTCTACAGTGGTCTCCTCTTTGCCCTCTTCCCCTCTTTCTTAGTGGTTCTGCCCTCCTCTGCCAGCCGCCTCTCTCCCCAGTGGTCTCTGCTCCCATAGTGATCTCTCCCTCCCCACCTTTCCGCCAGTGGTCCTTGAGTTTCTCCCCGCCCTGTCCCTAAGAGTTTCCCCTCCTTCCTCCTAGTAGTGCTCTCTCCTACTCCCCGTCCCTTGCGGCCTCTCATCCCTTAGTACCCTCTCTCCTACCTCCCCCTCTTTAGAGTTCTCCCCGCCCCCTGTCCTTCAGGAGCTTCCTTCTCTTGCCCTTAGTGGTCTGCTCTCTCGCCCCCACCCCAGTGGTCTCTCTCTCTCTTCTCATTTAGTCATCTTTTCCTTCCTCCCACCTCCTTCCATTTAGTGGCACTTCCTCCTCTCCCACTTTCCATTAGTGGCCCTCTCCTCTCCCCCCATGTTGCTCCTCCTCCCTCCCACTCTTAGTGGTCTCTGCACTCCCTCCCTCCCTAGTGTGGCTCCTTTCCTCACCCCTGGGTACCTCTTCTTCCATAGTGTTGTCTCTCCACTCTCCCTCCTATAGTGGTTCCTCTCACCTCTCTCCTATAGTCTCTCCTACACTCCTTCCCTCTCACCTATATGGTAGCGTGGCCAAGCTCCGGTCTGGTCCGCGGTACACTGAAGGACTGGCAGGAGGGAGCACTGTGCCTCATATCTTGCACCCCCAGGCCAGTTCACCCTAATGGACGCACCGGCCTGGGCAGAGCTGCAGCCGCCAGAGGCTCTCTATAGAGCGCTCAGGCAGCTAGAGCATTTGAGTGGTTGTTTAAATGGTAGCACGTCACGTAACTCTGGGCATAAAATCAAACATTCATATCCATGTTAGTGATAGGTAAACGAGCAAGAGAAATAGAGAGAAGGGTAACGTAATTTAAAGATAAGAAAATGTAACTAAGGCAACAGTGGCAATTTGAGACTGTCCAGGGTGCTTGTATACTGGCAGGGTTTTTGTGAGCGTCACTGGATCAAATTGTTTTGTGGGGCCTTCTCTGGGGCTCTCTCTGGGGCCTTCTTCTTGTGTGGTATGTCCACCTAGTTTGTTTCCTCCAAAATATTAGTGAAAGAGTGTGTGTGGGTTATCGGAGGAGGAAAGGGTAAGTTTTTCAGTGCCGTGTGTGACGTCAAGGGAGCCCTCTGCATTCCAGTGATATTTGACAGAGTAATTCCGAAGTTTCCTAGCAACTGGTGCCAGCAGTCTTCGTTAGAAGGGAAGGTCGCTATAGATGGACACTGTATGACCCTCAAAGTGCACTTTTCCCATGGTTCTGATACTATTCATTATAGCGGTTGTCACCGCAATGTCTCTGGTAGTCTCAATTATGTCCCGAGATGCGTCTGCTGGTACTGCTGCTGATTTGCGCATTCGGAAAAAGGCCAGGATGGATGGGGCAACTGTAGCATTTTGAAATCCCATTGAGGACATCAGTCTTTGTGTGAATGGCAATATGTCCCCTCCGCCTACCTGTTCAGGTATGCCTCTTAGACGTATATTCTGTCGCCTGTGTTGAGACTCTAGCGAGAACACCATTTTATGCAACTGTTTGACTTTTGTAGTGAGGCCCTCCATATGTTGCTTGGTATCTCGCAGTTGAGTGTCACGCCTCTGTTCTCTGTCCTCCACAGCCTTCACCTTTTGCTGCAGGGCTTTTATGGCTGCTTTTGTCTCCTGGAGGTCTGACTTCCACACCTTTCTCAGATCCACCAGCAATCTCTTGATGTTCCCTTTCGTGGATGGAGATGAGTCCCCATCCGATTCAGCACTTTCATATACTCGTGCTGGGTGAGGTGAGGTGCAGACATCTCCCTCCTCAGGCGAATCATCCTAGGTGTCATGTTCACTCTGGGGATCAGGTGCCACCTTGGTGGGTAATGGTGGGGATCAGGCACCACCTTGGCGGGTAATGGTGGTGTTTTCTCAAAGGACAGTCTTATGTCCTGTTATGTAGGCCTCTCTGTCTTGTAATGCCTCTTGTGTTTGTGCCCCATGTCATCTGTTAGATAATAGGGTGAGCCGGGATCACGCTCACAGACAGGGGTTGGGGAAAGGTAGACTCTGGCGGTCTCTACACAGAGTGGTAATCCCCTGAGCAGAGGGATCAGCTGCCTCCCTTCTGATTGATAGTGATTTTAAAAGTGATACTATTGTGTTTGGCAGTAGTTTTGACGCTACACTGAAGCAGTGCTATTATAGTGATCTTATAGAACTCTGGACATTTTGAATGAATCATGTTGATGATGACAATTTTAATAAATACCCTTTTTAGAACACATTCCCAGAGCATGCTCTATGCCTGTCACAGAACACAGTCTGCCTCTGTCTGTGCTGAGAGCATTACTAATAGGCAGCCTGCTGATCTGTGTCCTGAGCCCAGGGCTCTATTCCATATTGATCACAAATTACAGTGATAATTTGTATCATGCATCCAGTAACACTATAGTATCTGTGCTCACTGCCTTCCTGTTTGTAAGTTTATTAGCCGTGAGGGCTGTCCCCAGAAGGGGATTTAAGGTCCCTTCAAAAATCCCCGTGACTGTATCTCTGTGTAAGTCCTAGATTAGAAACAACGATTAAAACTGAAACTGTACACCCTGGAGACGATGGGGAATCCCTTCGTCAAAAAGTTTCTGAAGCAGGAACCTCTGCCTGCCACCCCCCGTCTGCTGACACCGGCTCTAAATACATTTTTTTGGAACTTATTCAGGAAATCAACTACCCAGCCAGCAACCCAGCAAGTTGGAACGCAACACTGCGTTATTTATCTTTTCTCTTGACACAAACAGTTTCAACGGAAGTAGTATTTGTTGCTGCGGCTTTTCGTTGCCGTTGCTGAGAACAGGAAATATCTTCCTATAATTTCAGCAGAACGAGCAGGTCTTTTCCATTTCGTCACTCAGCTGCAATAACAGACTCTCTGGCTGCCTCCTCTTCACTTCCTTCCTCTCAGTTATGTCTTCCTGTCTTTCCGCTTTGATGATGGGAAGCCTGTTGCAAAACGTCAGCAGGTTTAACGTGCTACGTTGTGAAAGGAAGCAGGGGTCTACGCTGACTAATGATTGCATCGATCAATCACCAGAACATGGACAAGTTCACTGTCTTTTTTTTTTCCTATTGTCTGGCTGCCCTGTAAATTTTCAATCCCTCTTCATACTTCTCATTCCTTTCCCTTTACAGTTCTACTTGATTTAACGTTCTCACCGACTTAATTCCAAACACAGCAAGCAGAATGTCAGCGAAAGGACCCGTCATGTCTGTGACTAGACTATTTTTTAATCTAGCACATTATGGAGGGCATGTACTAACCAGATACAACAAAGCAAAATCATAAAAATGTATTGTGTAAACAAAAAGTAACAAAATTCAATGTCCTGCCTAATATTCGGTGTATATGCGTCATCTGTCAGAAAATATAATTGTGCAACTGTGCTAAACAGTGAAACAATATGTGCATGGAGAATATTGCTTTCACATAATGGTTATTTTACTAGGGGATTCCACAAATCCTTACAGTATTTTTCCTTAAAAATCAGATCATAATTATCTCACCAGTTTTGGTAGCCCAACAGCCATAATAATATCCCCCAAGACAACCCAGATCAACAGGCCGGTCCTGATTTTGGGCTTAATGATCAAATATTGTATGAGGTCACATTGTCACATTTTCCATGGGAAAGGGTCAAACACATTGTGCATCTATGAATGCCTCATATGAAGCATGCTCGTATTGTAGTTTATGGAGAGCTTGGTGTATTGATAGAGGAGGCCAAACACCCTATTTCAAAAGGGAGCTGTCACTTGCCATGAGTATTTAATCAATGTTTACTTGTCCCCTACATTTAGCAAATGTAGTAAGATCTGGAAAATAAAATTAAATGAACACTCTAGGGACCAACACCTCTTCATGTCAATTAAGTAGTTATGGTGCCCAGATTCTACTGGTGTCCTTTTAACATTTTTGAATGGTTTTGAATGAACACTTAAAGTAACACTATAGGTTCAGGAACACAAACATGTATTCCTGACCCTATATTGTTAAAACCACCATCTAGCCCCTCTTGCCTCCCTAAATAAAGTAAAATATTACTTGTATTCAAGACTGCAGCTACAGCCTCTGCCCCTGATCTGCCTGCTTGGCTGACATCACAAGAAGTAATTTTCTGAGCCAATCACAATGCTGTCACATAGGATTGGCTGAGCCTGTGAAGTAGGCAGATCAGGGGCAATTACAGCACAAGCCAAGCACAGCCGTGGCCAGTGAGCATCTCCTCATAGAGATGTATTGAATCAATGCACCTCTATGAGGAAAGTTCAGTGTCTCCATGTAGAAGGTGGGGACACTAAATGTCAGTCACACTGTGCAGCACTGCCCCAGGAAGCACCTCTAGCAGCCATCTGATGAGTGGCCAGTGGAGTTATCCCTGGGCTGTAATGTAAACACTGCATTTTCTCTGAAAGACAGTGTTTACAGCCAAAAGCCTGAAGGGAATGATTCTACTCACCAGAACAAATTCAATAAGCTGTAGTTGTTCTGATGACTATAGTGTCCCTTTAAGTAGAGTCCGCATGTGCTGGTCCATCTTCTCTATCAGCTGGTCGCAAATGCAAAAGCATTTCCTTGAGTAGGAGATTTAGATTTTATTTCACGCACTAAATCTAAGTCTGACCTCCCTTAGTAAGTGCTGCTTAAAATAAAACACTTGAAGCTATGCCCACTTTACTATGCTGTCTATATCTCAGCCTGTTACTGCTGCTTTGCTGCTTGAGAAAGTGCTTCTGCATTCGCGAGCTGCTGGATCAGCAGCTGGGGAACTCCACTTAAAGGGTTACTCTAACCCTTACTAAAAAAAATTGCTACCTTGTTTACATTCCCCCTTTTAATCCTGCAAAAAAAAGCCTAAACTTACCTGGAATCCAGAGCTGGCGATGCTTCTCGCGCTGGTTTCAACTTCCCCTCGACATTACCAGTGCCCACTCCTGGTCCAATCATATATTCTTTATAGAGAAACATTTGAATAGACCATTCTACCAACTCGAAGCACATGTTCACGCTCTGAGCCAGGTTTGGAAGGCATGGAGGGGTTGACAGGCGAGGGAACTAAAAGAAATGTAAAGAATTAATGACTATCAATGCGCGAGGGGTGGTGTGAGATAAAGGCTTCCCCTTGCAGGCAGTGCTCCAAGGGAGAAGCAAGAAAGAGAAATGTATTGTGTCTGTTGCCAGCACGCTGACAACAGATGTCATTTTTGCACACAATTACCATTTGACTCTGTTCCGGCACAAAAATAACTATATCTCTGGATGTGCAGCGTTTTAAGCAACAAGGTGCACATACAGACTCCTACCACCATGACCACTTCTAAAAGCAGAAGTGGTCATGGTGGTTGGAGTAACCCTTTAAGTGTTAAACCATTCAAAAATGGTTCAACACTTAAAGGTTAGAAGGTATCAGTGAGTTTCAGGCATCATAACCACTTAATTAAAATGAAGTGGTTTTGGTGTCCAGAGTGTTCCTTTAAATGTAGAAATCAAAACTTCTATCCTGGAAATGGGCATTACCATCTTCAATCATTGGGATAAACGTGCTCCTTTTATGCCACTGAACATATTTAGTAAAAGAAATGTCTGTTTTCCTAATTGTCACTGTGACTTCTGGCGGTGCCTGGAATGTACTGAATTGTAATGTCACCTGCTAAATCTTTAATGAACATTTTAAAAGAAACTTAAAATCACATGAAAAAATTAAAAATAAATAATAATATCCAAGTTATAAGTGATTTTTAAAGCTTTCTTAAATGGTGTGATTTCCAGACAAGTGACAGTTGTACTATAAGCTATGCCCACTTTACTAAGCGTACGCAGCTCACATTGTTAAGATATGATTAAAGGGTACTTTTCAATTAACCACCCACCATTTCCATTTAGAACCCTCAGAACTAATGCTCTCAGCTTAAAGTAAGTTGGCTGTGACATGATCACATGATCAGGGTAGTCATGTAACAGTCATAGTGTTACAAATAAGCTGCAATGATGACAATTAGCAATCGAATTTAAAGTCTCAATATTACACGATTACAGTTACATTGTTACAACTGTTCTCAGGGCTGAAGCTGTGGGTTCAATCTAAAAAAAACAACCCTCTTTTATATCATCAATAAACATATTTATTGTGATGTAGGGGAATATATATATTTTTTTAGTGCTAGGAATACATATTTTTATTCTCCGCCCCTCCACGGCACTGCAAAAAACCCTTGTAACACCGGATTCCAGCGCCGTGCTAAGTCAGTACCCTCAGTGCTAAGTCAGCATTCTACCTTCTCCAAGGTCATTGGATTGGGGGCCTAATGCTCATGCACTTCAAGCGCTGAGAGCGTATTAAGCCATACCCATAGGAAAGCATCGACTCAATGTTTTCTTATGAAGATTTAATTGTCGCTGGATGTCCTCATTTCTGAGTGTGACAGGGACACAGCACTCATTGAGCTGAAGTGGTCTTGGTGTCTGTAGTGTCCCTTTAAACACACGCCTACTAGTTGTCTTCCTAACAAACTTGATGATTTCAGTCAGAGAGGCGAAGCCGCCATAGGGAGACCAGTGCAACGAGGTACGAAAGGTAAATAAAACTCATGCATGTTTATATTCTAACGCTTTAGTGCTCCATTAACAGTGATTGTTCGCCGTTTCTGCTAGGTAAACCTGCTGCTTCAAATCTGAACAGAAATTTTTCTATTTCTTTGAGTGGATGAAGGACATGCAATTCTGTAATTAAAAAATATCTATAGTGTTATTCACTAAATTGTCAAAATGGTGGGAAGATAGGAAAAAAAGACATATTTTAGACATATAGCCACATTGTTTTCATATTTAATATAATCTCAAAATTCTACTTTCACAAACAGGAAATATGCCACTGTTTCTAAAAAGGCAAGGCACTGACTAACAAAACAAACACTATTATCACAGGCATGTCTCCCATTACAGTTCTGCTAATGTAAGAGGGATCATGGCAGATTTAAATCCCATCATTATTAGATTTTACAGGGGCTATTTTATACAAGGAGTAATTTATACTTAGAACATATCAGAGATAGTTATTAAAAGGGAATTGCACTTTGAAAGCAGAAATTGTAGAATTCAGTCAACTATTTTGCCAACTCAGTTGCTTTGGACCAAAATGCATAATTGCATTTTTTTTTTTTTTACAGTTCTTGCTTGGCGAATGAACCTCAAATTAACCATGACTACAGACTACCCAAAGCATATGATGAATAGCAACAATACACACAACTACTAATGCATGTGTAGTCAGTGTATAAGTCATACCTGCTCCACGAGATAGATAACGGTCCTGCATTTTCTCCTGATCCAGCGATTCCCTTGACAGACACAATGACGTCAAATGTTTTTCCGATGTCAGTGATGACGTAGAACGCTCCGCCTCTCTCTCCTTTTATTCACGTCACGGTCTGCATCTGGTGTGGGTGGTCTGGTAGTACTGTTTGTCCACACAACATGGGTCAAATTCATTTTGGCGTCATGCATGACACAGGCCAATCAGAGATCACAGCCCTTGTGACCTCTGTACATTGCCCTGTTATGGTTTTTGTTAGCCCAAGAATGCATTAGTTTATCCTTAGTATTTCTGGTTTCCTACTTAGCTTTGTTTTATCATTTATTCTGGTATCCCTCACCCTTCGCTCTTTCATACTCGTTTATCCATCTGTCTCCAGTCCTGTCATAGGCCTGTAGCTGACTATTCTATATCCTACACCTACTATATACATTAAGCCCGGCCACTCTAAGGTCCGGTAATATGTCTTTTTTTGTGTAAAGGGTTGTACTTGCCTCACTGTTTGCCAGTTAGGGCATCTGTCCTTGACAATAAGTTATAAGGTAAAGCCTTAGCCAATCATACGGTGCTCCATATATATGACAAATAGTAGATAGACAGTCATACCATTTTGATACACCAAGTATGACGGAACCTGGAATGGCAAAATGCATCTCCATCATTAACATCACAGGTGGACTAATGCTGCATCTGCCAGTACACCCCATAAAAAGAGCTTAAATGTGCCCCTATTTTAGTGTCAACCTCTATGATTGAGATGAGGTTGCCAGGTCCAGACTTAGGTGGTGTCTACAAATATGGGTCAAAATGTTAGTAAAACCAGTGTCAGAGTTTAGTGGTAATAGGGTCACAGGTTAGAAGGAGTAGGGGTAGATGCAAGAGATAGAGGTTAGAGGTAACAGGGTGCCATAACAGGGGTGCAGAGAGGTTAAATGTTTAAGGGTAGTGTTAAGGTTAGAGCGGCTACTGGATGAAGGGTTCTGTTATGGTGTCCGGATTAAATCTGGCTCCTGTCACAGTCTTCACATATTTAAATTAGAGAGGTGATTATACACTCATATCCCCTACTGACAATTACAAATTAGAAATTTATTACTACTGGAATATGGCTCCTTTACTCCGAAAGTCATAATCAAAAGTTATAATTCCATATGGCAAGACATTATACATCTAAAACAAATCACGCTCTCTTCAACCAACAGGTTCTGATATCCTAACTCAGACAGCCAGTTGCAAAACTAGCAACTATCGATGTAACTTCGTGCTCTTCTACTAATTAGGGTGAAAAGGTCGTCATTTAATGTAGAGGTGCTTATGGAACTGCAGCGCTGCATTGAAATGCTTTTCGCTCTGAATAGATCAAATATTATAAAATATATTGTAGGAATTAGTGCAAAACAATTCACACTTCTCTTCTGTGCTTTACTACGCCGGGCTGCTCAGCAATTATATTCATCACATGTACATCCCTTTCATTTTTAATTGTATTGCTTTTAAAAGGAGAAATGTTGTTAGAGGTGACTCACAGGTCCATTGAAGAAAATGAGAAGTAGCTTTATCCAAAGCAGAAGCTCGATGTGATCGTTTTATGAGTCACAGTCTTATCTATTGAAAAGATTGATACCTTTTGACCCAGAAAGTGTTACAACTTATTAGCATTATCAGTATCCCTACAGGAGAACCAGTCACGTGGCTTTGGAGTCCAAGATCATAAACAGTGTATAAGAGTTTGGTCCATCCAGTACAGATAGGCACAGAGAACACTGTAGTAGCTCCTGCATTTGATTTCAGCTAATAGATAACATGCAAGCCCAATGACCCAGCCTAGGATCTTCTGAATACAAGTTCCACCCTTGCGCACAAGACTATGGTCAGATCCCTTGTACCAAAAAACAAAAACTGGAACTGCACTCAATACATAAATAAAGCCTGGGTGCAACCAAACCTGGGGTCTGCACCAAGGCCCAAGAAGTCGTTCGTAGTCACTGAAGAAAGTATAATTCTTTATTTTTGGTTAAATTCATAGGTACAAATATATCAAAAACGAGATGCAGCAAGTGTAGGTTAATACTTCAGCAAAATAGTGTCTTGATGTTCAAGATTCTACGCCTGTTTAACACACTATGAATTAATTTTATAAAATTATACACGGTCTAAATATATAAACTAAATAAATCCAGCATAGCTTAAAGGACCACTCTAGGCACCCAGACCACTTCAGCTTAATTAAGTGGTCTGGGTGCCAGGTCCTTCTAGGGTTAACCCATTTTTTCATAATTATAGCAGTTTCAGAGAAACTGCTATAATTATGAATGGGTTAAGCCTTCCCCCTAATCCTCTAGTGGCTGTCTCATTGACAGCCACTAGAGGCGCTTGCGTGCTTCTCACCGTGAAAATCACAGTGAGAGCACGCTAGCGTCCATAGGAAAGCATTGTAAATGCTTTCTAGAGATCGCTGAATGCCGCGCAGCCTTGCTAGCATTCAGTCGGGGCGGGCGTAACGGAGGCGGAGAGGAGGAGGAGAGCTCCCCAGCCGCTGGAAAAAGGTAAGTTTTTACCCCTTTCCCCCTTCCAGAGCCGGGCGGGAGGGGGACCCTGAGGGTGGGGGCACCCTCAGGGCACTATAGTGCCAGGAAAACGAGTATGTTTTCCTGGCACTATAGTGGTCCTTTAACATTGACTAAGCTGAACTGCTGTTGGACATCTAACACAGAGTGAGGCCATAAACACAATGTATGTCAGGATGTATAGTGACTATGTATATATTTTAAGCCTTAGGGAGAATAGGCTTAAGAAAAACAGACTCTCTTTGCCACCTAAAGGTGGGGTTGAGGTGGAGGAGGGAGGGAAGGTTAAGATTGGTTCTAATGACCAATCAAACTGGTTGAGAGTTTGACTTCTCATGCAGTGTGCTGCATAAAATGATACACTAAACAACAAAAACATAATCAATGATGCAACCCTAGAATTTTAAGGGATATTATAAGGCCATGTGAGGTGGGTATTAGCAGTCCCGGTGATTGTATCAGGTAGTGATCGCGGCATAGCCTTCCTTTGCAGCTTCTCGTGGTATGAAAGAGATTGCCGTCTCTGAGAACACCTGTGCGGTGTTCAGGCTGCCGTCCCAGAACCAGCTTGTGACAGAGAGTCCAGAGGCAGGTTCAGTGTGGCCAACAGGGCTGTTTCCTCCGCAACATCATGGATTAGATGCTTGGTTTCACCCTGCAGGACCATGAGTGCAAGAGTCACCCACCAGGTGAGGCGAAGGTGGATAACAAGGTCTCTAGGCACATTTTCCGGCGCCCAAGGGGATTTAGGCACTCGGAAAAATCTATTGATTCCTACCACTTTGAAAAGTGCCTAGTAGGTGCCTCAGGAGGTGTGGGAGTTCAGCAGTTGGCACGTCCTCATTTATGCCCTTAATTTTTATATCATTTTGCTCCTCAGGTCTTCGATGGGGCATAAGCAACGATCATTCGTCTTGCTTTTCTTCTGGAGCCCCTTGACTGCCTTCTGTAACGTCATGATCTGAATTGCTTGATCGCTGGATGCTTTCTCCACCACTGCTAGTCTTGCCGACAGGCCCTGCAGGGTGTACGGATTGATGCCACATCTGCCTTAATAGTTTTCTGAAGGTCCGCAAGGAGAGCTTTCAGCACCACAGTAGTCTCTAGGGCGGTATCCGGACCAGTAGGCATCGGCGCGTAATGTGTTTCTGGGGGATTATCCACCTACTCCTCAGGGACAGGTCATCCGAGAGTTTGGAGTAGCCTCTGGATAAGCGTTCATCTTGGGTGCTGACGCGCCATGCGGCTGCCACAGTAAGTCTCCAATATTAAAGCCCATCAGTGGCTTTTTTTTATTTCTGTTTTTTTTATTTGCACCCCTCCTGTGGGGGCTCCCCAGGCCATTCGATTCTCGGTTTCAGGGCCCACAAAGAGGTATATTGATTCCTGTTGTTCATACCTCTCATTTCAGTATGGTCATTACGCTCAGTAGCTTGGCTCTGCCCCAATTATAATGTATTTTGAATCATAATGAAAAAATTCATAGATTTCGTTCATGTAATTTTGCAATTCGTCATTAAAAATAAGCAAATTAAGCTTTTATCAACATATTGTCTAAAATGTCATTCCTTCCCTTCATAATGAAATCTGCTCATGGTGAAACGAGAAAATGGAGCTAATAAACAAGTGGTCAAAGTTTTGGCACACAACACATATGATAAATTAGTGAGGGTTTGAGGAAAGAGAGATAAGGGACGAGGAACTGACAGAGGGCCATACCTTTCATTCATAGAATAGGGAACCAGTATATTACCCAGGTATGTTTTTAAGTTAATAATAAAATCTCCATGGCAATAAAACATAATATTTTAACGATACATGCTTTATCTTCCCTGTAAATCTCAGTTCCTCAGTTTTCAAACAATAAAACTGAGAAGTATCTGCAGTTTTATCTGAAAAAGCTCAAGGGTTTGAACTTTTTAGCCAAAATGGAGCAACGCAAGTTGAAATCTAATCAGAATGTGATTGTTTTAAAGTTGAAACTAAAAGCTGACAATTGCATAATAATAATGAGTACAGAGTCATTTATTGATGTGAGATGATCCAAGCAGTTGATATCTATAGATTGCAAAAATCTGCCTGCCTGCCTACTGACACAGAGACTTGTGGGATATGGAGAAATAATATTTTGCCAGCTACAACTAAAAAAGGATTTTCATAAATCTACATTGTTTCGTAAATTATCATCTGGCTAATTGATTTGCAACTTCAACTGCTTTGTACAAATATAAAAGTACTCAATACACTTGGTACCAACTGTTAAGGCCTTTATTATATAACAATGAATACATATTATGGACAAAATTTCCTTTCCTATATTTGTGCAACGATTAAATCAGTGCAATAGTGGAGTCATAGAAACATAGAAACATAGAATGTGACGGCAGATAAGAACCATTCGGCCCATCTAGTCTGCCCAATTTTCTAAATACTTTCATTACTCCCTAGTCTTATCTTATAGTTAGGATAGTCTTATGCCTATCCCACGCATGCTTAAACTCCTTTACTGTGTTAACCTCTACCACTTCAGCTGGAAGGCTATTCCATGCATCAACTGCCCTCTCAGTAAAGTAATACTTCCTGATATTATTTTTAAACCTTTGTCCCTCTAATTTAAGACTATGTCCCCTTGTTGTGGTAGTTTTTCTTCTTTTAAATATAGTCTCCTCCTTTACTGTGTTGATTCCCTTTATATATTTAAATGTTTCTATCATATCCCCCCTGTCTCGTCTTTCCTCCAAGCTATACATGTTAAGATCCTTTAACCTTTCCTGGTAAGTTTTATCCATGAACCAGTTTAGTAGCCCTTCTCTGAACCCTCTCTAAGGTATCAATATCCTTCTGAAGATACGGTCTCCAGTACTGTGTACAATACTCCAAGTGAGGTCTCACCAGTGTTCTGTACAAAGGGATGAGCACTTCCCTCTTTCTACTGCTAATACCTCTCCCTATACAACCAAGCATTCTGCTAGCATTTCCTGCTGCTCTATTACATTGTCTGCCTACCTTTAAGTCATCAGAAATAATCACCCCTAAATCCCTTTCCTCATATGTTGAGGTTAGGACTCTATCAAATATTCTGTACTCTGCCCTTGGGTTTTTACGTCCAAGATGCATTATCTTGCAGTTATCCACATTAAATGTCAGTTGCCACAATTCTGACCATTTTTCTAGTTTACCTAAATCATTTGTCATTTGGCTTATCCCTCCTGGAACATCAACCCTGTTACATATCTTAGTATCATCAGCAAAAAGACATACCTTACCATCAAGACCTTCTGCAATATCACTAATAAAAATATTAAAGAGAATGGGTCCAAGTACAGATCCCTGAGGTACCCCACTGGTGACAAGTCCAAGCTTCGAATATATTCCATTAACTACAACCCTCTGTTGCCTGTCACTCAGTCACTGCCTTACCCATTCAACAATATTTGAATCCAAACTTAAAGATTGCAGTTTATTTATAAGCCTTCTATGTGCAACAGTGTCAAAAGCCTTACTGAAATCTAGGTAAGCAATGTCTACTGCACCACCCTGATCTATAATTTTAGTTACCCAATCAAAAAAAATCAATAAGATTAGTTTGGCATGATCTCCCTGAAGTAAACCCATGTTGTCTCTGATCTTAAAATCCATGTGTTTTATACAGTAAGCATACTCACATGCAGACAGAGACAATCTCACTAACACACACCAACTCATTGATACACAGCCTCATAGACAAACAATCTCACTGATATAAATGAGCTCATTGAAATAAAAACACAAGCTCACTCACTAGCATGCACACACATATGCAAGCAAGCTCACACACACACACACACAAACAGCTTCATGTAGTGGTTCTGGTGTCTATAGCCTGTCCCTGCAGGCTTTTCACAGTGTGCAGCACCTACATTCATGGCCTCCCGCTCTGGAGGTGCTGAACGTTCCCCATAGAGATACATTTATTCAATGCATCTCTATGAGGAGATGCTGATTGGTGTAGCGTTTTGCAGCCAATCCTATGGCAGAGCAGGATTGGATTGGCTAAGATCATCAAGCCTGATGATCTCAGCCATAGAGGCAGGGCCAGTCGAGGAGAGATCAGCACGGCATGGGAAATAAATAAAGGTGAGTAAAAACACTATTTTTAAACACACACAGACACACACATACACCATGACAACACAGACACACACACATATACCATGACACACACATATACCATGACACACACACACCATGACAGACACTCACACCGTGACACAGACAAACACACACACCATGACAGACACACACTCACACTGACAGAATGACACATATTACCTCTGCTCACCAGCGCGCAGCTTAATGAGACTGGTTCCGGAATATGATGTCATATTCTGGCCCCGGTCTCATTAAGTAGCGCGCCAGGGTGGGGGAGAAGAGCAGAGACAGCACAACTCCCCCTACGGCTGCCATCACAGCTCCCCCTGCGGCCACCAGCACGCATTGCTATCTGCCTGGCCCCAGGTGCCGATGGTCCACCGGGAAATTTTCCTGTGTCCCGGGGGGCCAGTCCAGCTCTGGTAACTATTCAGGAATGCCATAACCGTATAGAGGCAATAATAGGGTTGGCATGCTTTAATTACTGATCAAATTTATTCCTGGTCAAAGTTGCCCAGGTATAGGCACCAAGTCTTGCACCAACAGTTATCTCCTGTCATTATACTGGTTTGACTAATTCAGACTTTTATTCAAATGCTCATTGAATGATGTAGCAGTGTCCTGGAAGAGCAGTACAAAGGATGATGGGATATTCATTAAATTTGCAAAGCACACCGGGAGCGTTTAACAATGAAATCTGGAAATGCATATTTGAATGAATTTCTTTCTCCATATTTCATGCACCGGGAGATATCTACGGACAGGAAGGAAGGATTGTACTGATTGATGCTTTCTATTTTCAATTTCCAGGTACGGCTGGATTGCAGGATGATTGTTTATTGAATGCAGAGTCATGATAAATATATAATGAACACAGGAAGCTCAGCTTCTCTTAATTGACAAGTCCTTGAGTGCCGAACGTCAGGCTGTAAATTTGCTCACAGTGACGTGAGCAGCATCCGAAAATGACTTTCTTCATCAATATTTGACGAGTCGGCTCGCAGAGATTGAGTGGTTTTTCCAACCTTTCTGTTCTCGTGAAGTGCAGGATATCCCTGTGGAAACATCACGATGCCCTGGGAATCCAATCACAGTTTCAAATGGATTACACTATTCTAGCTGCATTCATGCCAAGGGGACGCCAAGGACAATTTATTTTAATGATATATTTTCTAGTACGGATGTTCCTTATACAAATATATATTTAACAGGCTTTCTAATTAACCTTTCATTTTCCCCTGTCCATGTGTCATCTGTCAGGTAATCCTGATACTTTTCAGTTATTTCAGAAATTGAATAAATATCCATATTCCAGAATTCCCTTTCACTCTATTTACCATTGTGGTCCATGGTGGAGATTGCTTAAATAAACAATAACTGGTGAAACTTGTGTGGTCCATTTTCTCATTGCAGAAGTATTTACAGTATCTCACAAAAGTGAGTACACCCCTCACATATTTTGAAATATTTTATTATATCTTTTCATGTGACAACACTTAAGAAATTACAATCTGTTACAATGTAAAGTAGTAAGTGTACAGCCTGTATAACAGTGTAAATTTGCTGTCCCCTTAAAATAGGTGTGAATGGGGAGCAGGTGTGTTAGATTTGGTGTTATCGCTCTCTCATACTGGTCACTGGAAGTTCAACATGGCACCTCATGGCAAAGAACTCTCTGAGGATCTGAACAAAAGAATTGTTGCTCTACATCAGGGTTTCCCTATTGATTTTTCCCCAACAAAAAAATGTGTGCCATAGAGTAGCGCAGCGTTGCGCAAACCTTTCAATGAGCAGAGTGTAATGCTGTCTTTTGCTGGCAAATTCTTTTTATATCTGGTTTAATTGTTGACAATTGTATTTGCATGTCTGCAGTTGCATCAAGTCGATTTCTATACTTTGTTTTTGTTGCAGAGTATGTGCTGGCAAACGGCAACAGAACTTTGATTGCCCAGCTTGGACAATTCTGGGTATTCTTCGCGTAAATCACCCCAAAAAGCAATAAGAGAAACTTCTTTAAATTTTTGCCTTAGTTGACTGTCAGAAGTTATATCGATCAGATTCTCAAAATCTACATCAGAAACATTGGCAGATGTGATAGATGTGATTAAATGGCGAAGATGATCTACAATTTAATTGCAAATTTCTTCAAGTTTAATTTCTGATTCTTCAAGTGTTGGCAAAGAGTTCAAATTATTTTGCTCACCAGATGAGTTCCAAAACTGCAGCTTTTACGAGACAGTGAAAATATTTTATCTCTTGCATTAAAAATATTAATGTTTTTTCCTTGGAGTGATTAACATTCGTCATTTAATTTTGTGAATATGTCTGCAAGATATGCTACTTTGGATAACCACAGAGTGTTTGTTAATCGATCAGATAATCCAGATTTATGATCCTGGAAACATGCAAACAACTCTTGACGCAATTCAAACATTCTAACAAGGACTTTACCTTGTGATAGCCAATGGACTTCTGAATGCAAAAGCAGAGCAGAGTGGTGACTACCCATTTCTTCACATATAATTTTAAATAGTTGTGACTGTAATGGTCGACTTTTTATAAAATTAATAATCTGGACCGATCTAGCACAGTTTTAAGTGAGATTGAAATATTTTTAGCTACCAGTGCATGTCTGTGAAGAACACAGTGAGAAGTGGTGCTGCTTTTTGCTAAAATGTTTTATTCGTGTCACAGCGCCTGTCACTTTCCCAACCATTGCTTTGGCACCATCACTGCACATATCTACACATTTGTCCCAATTTATACTGTGTGTGTTCATGAACTTCTGGATACAGTTAAATATGTTCTCACCAGTGGTATGAGTTTTCAAAGTTTCACACAGAAGCAAGTCTTCTTCAATCTGTTTGTCAAAGTTATTTCTAACAAAAACCAACAAAACTGAAAGTCCTGCAACATTTGTGGACTCGTCTAATGGCAGCGAATACCCATCACATTGATGCAGTCGAGAAATTAGCTCAGTATGGATGTCATCAGCAAGATCATGAATAAGGCGCAAAACTGTGTTGTTGGAAAGTGGCACAGCTTCAATTTTTTTTACTCAACTTCTCACTTAAAATACATGACACTATTACTTGTGCGCATGGTTTTATTGGTGATTCCCCAATTGTGTGTGCTTCTCCTGCAAGTGCTATGCGGTAACTCACTCTGTAAAAAGCCTCTGTGGCTTTTTCATTAACATTTAAAAAAAATTTGCTCATAAATTGTTGACTCTTCTGATACTCCTTTAGCTTTCGCTGAAAAAAGTCAATGTCTTTATCTTTGTACTCTGCGTGGTTTTGCTCAAAATGACGACGTAATTTAGCAGGTGTAAATGAACTGTTTGCCAATATTTTATTGCAAAGTATGCATTGTGCTTCAGGACAATCTTCATTTCTAGCACTTTTGAATCCAAATGATGAGTAGCTATCATCATATTTTATTTTCTTTGTTTTAGAAGAATATTGGCTAGCATCATGTGCTTTTTTGTGACTTGTCACTTGTCTCTGCTATTTGAGAAACAACTATTTCAGGCATGTTTTCTGGATTTTTAGTTGTATCTTCTTTCTCAGTTTCTATAAGTGCTGAACAGGTAGAAGTAGTAATAACTTTTCTCTGAAGAGTTCCCTGCTTTAACCAGCTTTCCAAATTCATGGTTGTTTATTGGTAAAAAAAATAAAATAAAATAAAAACTTTGGAAAATACAGATCTTACAACCTGATTGAAAAGGATGCTGATTTTGTTAACACTCTTAGAAATAACTGAACTTAAGCAGAATTTTTGAGTTAGACGTGAAGCAAAAAGATTTGAACACTTTAAAAAATACAGTTAAAAGTTTTTTGCCCCTCACAGAGTCATTCAATGCCCCTGACAGAACCTTTTACTTTCTCTTACAGAGCCTTTAAAGGACCACTATAGTGCCAGGAAAACAAACTCATTTTCCTGGCACTATAGGGTCTTTATACACCCCCCAACCTCAGGGTCCCACTTCCGCTGCGCTGAAGGGGGCTGAAGGGGTTAAACACTTACCTTTCTCCAGTGCCGGGGCTTCCCCGGCGCTGGGGAACTCTCCTCCCTCTGCCGACAAACAGTCCATAGGAAAGCATTTCTCAATGCTTTCCTATGGACGTCCAGTGTCTTCTCACTGTGATTTTCACAGCCTATGGCGGCTGTCAGTGAGACAGCCACTAGAGGCTGGATTAACCCGAGTGTAAACATAGCAGTTTCTCTGAAACTGCTATGTTTACAGCTGCAGGGTTAACACTCGCATTCTTATAGTCCATAGGAAAGCATTTCTCAATGCTTTCCTGTAGACGTCCAGCGTCTTCTTACTGTTATTTTCACAGTGAGAAGCGTGGAAGTGCCACTAGCGGCTGTCAGTGAGATTAACTGGATTAACCCTAGTGTAAACATAGCAGTTTAACCCTAGTGTAAACATAGCATTGCTGCAGAGGTTGAAGGGGTGGTGGGTCAGCCTGTCAGTGCTCAGACCGTACATCGCACACTGCATCAAATTGGTCTGCAAGGAAACCTCTTCTAAAGATGATGCACAAGAAAGCCCGCAAACAGTTTGCTGAAGACAAGCAGACTAAGGACATGGATTACTGGAACCATATCCTGTGGTGCGATGAGACCAAGATAAACTTATTTGGTTCAGATGGTGTCAAGCGTGTGTGGCGGCAACCAGGTGAGGAGTACAAAGACAAGTGTGTCTTGCCTACAGTCAAGCATGGTGGTGGGAGTGTCATGGTCTGGGCCTGCATGAGTGCTGCTGGCATTGAGGAGCTACAGTTCATTGAGGAAACCATGAATGCCAACATGTACTGTGACATACTGAAGCAGAGCATGATCCCCTCCCTTTGGAGACCAGGTCGCAGGGCAGTATTCCAACATGATAATGATCCCAAACACACCTCCAAGGCAAATGCTGCCTTGCTAAAGAAGCTGAAGGTAAAGGTGATGGACTGACCTAAACCCTATTGAGCATCTGTGGGGCATCCTCAAATGGAAGGTGGGGGAGCGCAAGGTCTCTAACATCCACTAGCTCCGTGATGTCGTCATGGAGGAGTGGAAGAGGACTCCAGTGGCTACCTGTGAAGCTCTGATGAACTCCATGCCCATGAGGGTTAAGGAAGTGCTGGAAAATAATGGTGGCAACACAAAATATTGACACGTTGGGCCCAACTTGGACATTTTCACTTAGGGGTGTACTCACTTTTGTTGCCAACGGTTTAGACATTAATTTACACTGTTATACAGGCTGTACACTTACTGCTTTACATTGTAGCAGAGTGTCATTTCTTCAGTGTTGTCACATGAAAAAATATAATAAAATATTTACAAAAATGTGAGGGGTGTACTTACGTTTGTGAGATAATGTGTATATATGTATAAAAATACATATAAAATCAAAATTGGCTTATCCAGGGATTCTTCCCTCCTACTGGCAATGTTTCACCAACAACCGTGACCACTGAGAAATGGTACTCATCTGGGGATTATTGGCAGAAGCTCAATTGAAACCTAAATAACAAAATCACCAGCCGTCAGCCATATATTAACAACTAACAAGTTCTCTTCAAAGTCATATGTCACTAACCACCAACACATTTTTTTATTTCTCAAATATAATTTTCCAGCCTCCAGAAACATAAATGAAACAGAACATTAGAGCTGAGAAAGCAATAATTCTCCAGTGCCCATTTTAAACAAGTATAGAGGAGATGAATACCCGAAAAACTTAATTGGCTAACAAAAGTCCAATAACGGTGAAACACAAAGATGGAGGCAATGTCTTGAACACGTTCATGGCACACTAACCTCCTGTTCCTCACTATCTATAGGATGGATTCCCAGGCCCTATCACCCATATGGAGGGTTGTAACCCTTTTCACACCATCGAACATTTTAAACACACATAGAGGGACACTTTCATTTTAGTGGTGTGGCCAGGGGCAGCGCTGTTTTACAAAATCTTAGGCGGCTTACTAATAACAATTTAATCAACTAAAATGCAATTTAGAACAAGAACAATGTATTTTATTTACACAGGCTGATTTCTAAACACATTTATTGTAGCTTTAAAAAAGCACATTACTGTGCTATATTCATACGGTTCTTTGTTCAAAAGCGGCATTTCCTTAAACAGCAACACCATTTTTTATCACAGAAATATTGCATGACATATATGTCTTATAAAGAATTATACTTTAGTAACCTATATAGTGCACTGTTTTAAATCCTGATCATTTCCAAATAATTTGATGGTTTTGTTTGTGATTATGTCTCCAACTAAGCTGAGATCAGACCCCAATTACTGTATATACTGTATTTATATAAAATGCCAGTCACTGCAACACA